GGGTATTAAAGTGGGTTTAAATATCATTTACTTTGACTTTATTTCCAGAAGGCTCTGAATGGCACTGAGGTTGCCTCGCTTTCTGTGCAATACTACCAGCAGGTGCAGATTCTCAAAAGATTGATTATTATTATTATTTTATTAAAGACAGGTCTTTTGTAAATAGAGGATGTGGGGAAAATAGAGCCAACTCTGAGAGCCCACAGATAATCTGTTCCAATAGTCAAGATTTGTGAACTTAAAAATATAAGAACGGACATATTGGGAGGGACCAAAGGTCCATCTATCCCCGTATCCTATTTTCTGACAGAAAACGTTGCAAAAAATTGAAAATAAAGGAATTTCTCAAACAGCAAAATAAGGTAATATATTTATATTTAGCCCGTTGTGAGTGTCCTGCTGCTCAGAACAGGCCAAGATTGGCTTTCATCTAAATAAAGAATGTGTAACTTTCTATTATACAAGAAAAAGTGTTTGTGTACAGCCCATTGCAAAGTATATTGGTTGGATATCTTCTTATACACCACAAAGACAGCATTAATGGGAATGATAAATAGCTTGATGAGCTGGCCAGCTGGTATAACAATGGCTTGTAAAGCTGAGCTTGGCTTTCAGAACAAACTTGAGACTCTTGCTTCTTGGAGTTGGTTGAAGTTGAGCATGTTGAGGAGGTGATGGGATTGATCTCTTTGGAGGAGGATGTCAGCTAAAGTGTTCAAAAACTGCACCTTCAGGATTCTCCACAAAACTGAACTATAGCTTCTGAAAAAGGAGACTCATGCCTATATTCTCAGTCATTCAGACATAAGGCTCATGACAGTGGCTGCCAAAATAAATAAATAAATGAATGAAAATCAAGAGTTCAAAGGGGCAGAAAAGGTGTCCATGATACAAGTCACTTTAGAAAATATACCCCCTCCCCGCACAATACAACAATTATTTCACTTCCACACTGCTGTAAAGCTATTTCAAGAGCTTGTCTACCCAAGTTGTTTTCCTCTCATCATAGTAGGGTCCTGTAGTACCAATAAAATAAGTGGTCAAAATTTCATCTGCATGGCTGTATTCTATGTGGTTATATTGTAAGTCAGTTCTATTAAAATGCTCAAGGCTGAAATTTGGAATTAGTCAGCACAAAGATATAATTCAAAATGATAAAATAATCAATTGTTTTGTTGCTGTCCTCCAATTTCCTTCCTTTATTCCTCCCCTAATTGAAGGCCCCACACTGGGAAATTTATTTCCTGAAAATTGTTGCATGCAACTTGCTTTGAAATGTAGGGCACTCAGTCCTGAAAATGCTTCAGATTGGACAAAATTCTCAGTTTTATAGTGTTCCCTCCCCTTCCATTGCAGGCCTCAAAGGCAAAGGTGTGTCATTGCACCACCTACCTGCCTGCCTATTTCATTTATTTGTAAGAGATACTGTAATAAAGACAAGTATCAGAGGGGTAGCTGTGTTAGTCGGGATCTGTAAAAGTGGCAAAGAGTCCTGTGGCACCTTCTAGACGAACAGACAGTATTGGAGCATAAGCTTTCGTGGGTGAATACCGTGCGTCCGACATGGTGGGTATTCACCCATGAAAGCCTATGCTCCAATCAGGGGTGGCTTGACTAATTTTGCCGCCAAATTGCTGCCACCGCAACAGCACCGGGGCTGCCACCGAATTGCCCCCACGCCCGGAAGATTGGCGGAGCTGCTGCCCAAAAGCCGCCACAGTGGGAAAAGCGGTGGAGCTGCCGCCGAATTACTGCCTTGGGGCACGGACTGCAGCCCCATTCTCAATGCCGCCCCAAGCACCTGCTTGGAAAGCTGGTGCCTGGAGCCGGCCCTGGCTCCAATATATCTGTTAGTCTAAAAGGTGCCACAGGACTCTTTGCCGCTGTAATAAAGACTATAAATAAACTGAAAGGTGTTGGGTTTGGGATCTTCTGAGCTAGTGCAACTTTACAAAAATAACTTTCTTCCTAGTCTTGAATGCCTATAGTTTATTTTTTTACTTAAGACCTTTTTAGGCCTGTCCTTTTTACATGTGTATGAGGTGGTGGATGGAAAGGAGCCATCCCTAAGTATATCCATTGGATGCAATTGCAGGAACTGACCCTTTCCTGCAGGCATAAGTCAGTCCAAAGGAGGAGAGTGAGGATGAGGAAGAAGTGGATCGTAGCATACAATAGTAAATGCTGCATCATCCTAATGGATGGTAAACCAGAGGCACGTTCCTCATGCATGCCTTGGATTTCCAGAGGGATGTACACTCAGAAGTTTGTCTATACAAAAAAATGTGCTCTTAAGTTCTCCAGACGAGGTGTCTGTTGGACCATAGATAGAGGGAGGGAATTATAAAGATGAAAGCCTTAAAGGCGGCAAGTGCTATCACTGGTCCTGAAAAAACAGACTCCAAGCATTGATAGCAGAAGGCACAGAAAACCACAGCATTTGTAAAAGAACATAAGGGAGAGGTAACTTCTATATGAGCTTTTTCAGGACTTTAACGTTAATCAGAGGTTGGTACCCAAATCATGGGCCACAACGCAAGTGTTTAACCAGAAAAGAAAACAAAAAATATTAGAAAACTGAAATGATCAGAAGACAGTGTTCTCCAAACAATCCATCCCCTTCGCCATTAACCAAGTTGTATACAGATGATCACTGGGGTGCGGGGTGGGGTGGAAGTTTCGAAAAATGTCTGGGCTTTTGCACCGTGTAAATGATATACTTTGTTCCGAGGGTTCCTTTCATGCACTGCATCCCTTAGGGAAATGAAAATTATGCTACCTGGAAAGATTTTCATTTGCAAGCTCGTCCTTACAGCTCTATCGGCATCCCTCCACCCGCTGCTCTGTTTAATCTAAATATTGCTGCACATAAATATTCAAGCCTTACTGTAGCCTCAAAGTTGGGATCCAAAAGAGGTTAAATTAAAAAGGCTCTACTGCAGCCTGTGTGGAAATCACACCAGTGAGAGTCCTGGACACAATGTGTCAGGAATGAGTGTCAGCCTTCACTGTGCATGAGCACAAGCATGTGTTCTTTCTAAGTTTGACCTAAACCTGAGAAACGTTGAACAACCTGAATTCTCAGTAAAATCTTAGTGAGAGCTGATGTTGCTCAGCAGCTTGAAACTCTGGGCTGTTATGTACAAATAAAAACAATGGGTAAATGGATACTAAGTACTGTATTATCATTCTTTTGTGAAGCATTTCTTTGTTGTAGGAGCTGTAGGGTAACTGTAATGAGAGCTACTCCCTCAGACTTAGCTTCAATTCTCTGTACTGTTCATTTTCCACAAAGTGATGAATCCTTGAAATCCTAAGCAAGGGACAGCCGCTCCTGCTAGTGAAAGATTTTTGCTCTTCAAAGTCATTCCCCAGGGAGCCTTACAAGCTGAAAACTGTTGAATTAGTGCCAGCATGGATTTATTTTATGAGTCTAAACAGGAATGAACAAATATTTATTGTAGCTTATGGCCCAGTGGACTACCAAAGTGAACCGTTTAGTACAGTGGAACATGTTTTGTGGCCTACATAATTCAGTTGAGCTTTATAAACACAACTGACCGTGCTTATTCAGGAGACTGTTCTGTATTGTCAGTGTTTGTGCCTCTTTAGTTTGGAATAGGCTTTTTGAGATACTAACATATTCTATTCATTTTTTGTCACTCCTTACATGTTATAAAGTGCTTTGAACAATTACATTTATTTTATAAATTACATAGTGTCACAAAAGTAAAAACACACTAACTATAGGTGAGGGACAACATTTTGTAAAGTTTTCCATAGGTCAAATGAATGTAAGATAGCTTCTGCTATTGCATAATATCTAAATAGAATTTTAAGGTGAATTTTCAGCTTTTTGCTCTGTGTAAAGTTACACATGATGATAATGCATGACAGCTAACATCATTTCATGAACCTTCCTCATTAATATCTCTATCTTGAAAGGAAGTAGGTAATTTCAGACATTGGAGATATCTTTTAGGGCCTGATCCTACTCCAGCTGAAGTCAAAGACAGAACTTTCATTGACTTTGGTAGGTAGGTGGAAAATTGGTCCCAAGCATCACATATGAAGTACTGATGGCATATAACAGCCATTACTGCCAGTGAGTTATGCACACCCAATTCTTCACATGCCAGGGAGAAAGTTTACCCATAAGAATATATCGTTCTTGCTAACACTGAAATGAACTGTTACTTTAGGGAAGAGCGGCTTTTACGCTGTCATTTTCAATACAGTTAAACAACATGAGGTTTAGTATTGGTCACAGACCAATGATCTGTAAACCAACTCTGCACTGTCACATTGATTTGAACTAAAAGATTTCTGAGAAATTTCCATATATGTAACTCCTTGGGTGGGTGGGTGGGGTGGGGGGGGGGAGGAATAAGTAATTCAAAATGTTTTGTAGTATGTTAAGGAGGAATTAAGTGACATGAGCCTACTGTTTATTCTATACCCCTTTTTGCTGTGCTTTTGAAGCTGCTTGTTAATTGTATAATTAAGAAAGATAAATTAACGCTCTTAGTAGCCTGGTGTGGATTATGTGAAAATGTTCCATGGTACTGTAATGAACTTCAGCTGTGTATATAAACCTGATAGATTAGTCATGAGAATGAGTAGTCTGATTACAAACTATTAGTCTGGGATATTGCTTTAATTGAATTATAATAATTATATATATATATTATTTAGAGAAGAATATCATAGCTTCAAGAAAATGCAAAAAGGAAGATTTGTCTGCATTCCTGGACGTAATCCTAACTCAGGCTGCTTACTGTCTATTAATATTAATGAAGAAAAAAGAATTGTGTCAAGAAAGCAATGGGATCCCAGACATTTCTTTAAGCACAAATTTATACACACTGTAGCGTACTCATAAGAAGGGGAAAGAATCAGGAAATTGCAAATATTTTGTAATAAGCTATTTTCTCTTGCCAGGTCATTTCATTTTTGTTTCAATAATTTTCCTTTCCTGTCTCTTTCATATTTTCTTTAAGGCCTTATTCGATTACAAGAGCTCATTAAAGCTCCATCACGGTACAACCTAAGACTAAAAATCCGTCAGTTACCAGCTGACACAAAGGATGCTAAGCCTTTACTAAAGGAGATGAAAAGAGGCAAGGAGTTCCATGTGATCTTTGACTGCAGTCATGAAATGGCAGCAGGCATTTTAAAACAGGTAATCATTACATCACTTCAGATGGCCTAGTATATTTCCTAACAAATAACAGGAACACCTAGTCTCAACTGATTTTAAAATTGTGTGTGAATTTTACTGAGCTCTTTCTACTGGAAAATCAACCAAGTCCTCCTGAGCTAATGTTATATGAGATTATAATGATAGCCACTTTTCTTTTATTTGTTTGGGATGGAGCAAGAGCTTTATTTACAAGTCTCTGGAGGCAAATGTTACTTGGAAAAATCTTTTATATTATCTTATAATGATGAATGTCCTGTTGGGTATGCATCCGATGAAGTGAGCTGTAGCTCACGAAAGCTTATGCTCAAATAAATTGGTTAGTCTCTAAGGTGCCACAAGTACTCCTTTTCTTTTTGCGAATACAGACTAACACGGCTGTTACTCTGAAACCACTCATAGACTGGCACTCTGAACAGAAAGCAAATTTAGAATGTTTGTTTAGTCTTATTCTGCACAATGAACAATTTTAATTTAGACTTCTTATTTTAGTATATTCCATAATCAAATGAATAGAATTCCAATAGTGTATTTCAATAATAGAAAACTCAACCTTGCGTTGATTGACAAACCACTTGAGTATGTTTGTAAATTAAATCTCTCTTTTCCTTACCAGATGAGCACACTAATATGTTCCACTGAGAAAATTACTCATACTGTCAGTTCCCCTTGGGTATTTTCTTAGGGGCCAAATTCTCTCTGCCCTCCTGCCATGATTGCGGAGGACCCTAAACATGGTTAAACTGCTGCATTTCCATTGTGTGCCTGTGGGAATGCAAGGAGCATATGGCAGAATTCACAAGAGCTTGCCCAAACTTTCTGCACCAGCTGTATGCTACACGGTTATACTCCACTGGGATCCTCCAACTTCTTTAGGGACAGGGACAGGGAAGTGGTAGGGGTGGGTAATAGTTATTCTCCTTCCCTGTCTAAGGTGATGCAGCACATTCAGCGTGAGGGTGCAGTAGTGGTCTCTGAGTAGCTCCATTGCTGCTCTATAGTTTTGGTGAATGAGGATTCCCAATGCATACAGGCACTCCTTAGCTGTACCCAGTGGTGAGGTTTCACCACTTAGCAAGAAAATGAAGTAATGCTTGAGTCTGAACATTCAAACTTGTAGACTCCTAACTTCCCCCCCCCCCCATAACTACAGTCTTGTTGTGTCTTGCCTTCTCATGCAGTGTCACAAGCAGCAAAGCTTCTGGAGGACAAACTAGGATCTCACGTATATATCTGAAAAATTAATTGTTTCCGAACTGTGTTCACAGTGACTCCTCCTCTTGCCATCAGTAGGTTCGAACAGATGTAATTGATAAAAGAATGCTGTTGGTGCACAAAAAGAAACAGAATCCAAATTCTTCTCCCATAGCTATGTTATCTTTTCAGTGCTAAAAAAAGTAACTAAAAGTTTTAGTTACTAAAATGATTGGATATAAATCTTAATACACAAAGGAGGCTGTTCTGCAGAGTACTTTTCGGATTGGAACTGCCCTTTAAGGTAGAAGAATAATGAATTAGAATGAGGAGAGATCCCCAACCCACTTCTTTAAAACTGTATTTAAGAATACTTGCCCTTATTTTGCCAACAAAAATATATACGAAATTGAAAATACACAACTGAGCTGAAATTATTCTGTGTTGTGCTTTTAGGAAGGCAGGAAGACATACTTGCTAGTTTTCTATACTTTTTGAATAATGGTACCGATATTTGATATGCTCCGTTAATGCTAAAGAAATATGGTAAAAGTGCCCAAAGCTTGATCTGTTGATCTATTTGTCTGTCTGTCTATCAATCAACATCCCACTTATTTTGCTAACACTAGTTTTTAATTGAGTCATATTGTTAATCAAAGTAGAATTGTGTTTCTCATTAGGTTATTAGTTAGTGGAGACATTATAAATACAATGAAGTAAAATATTCTTAGTTCAGATTTTGTGTGGCAAGTTAATGCTCCCATTAATATGTAAAACTATAAGCCTCTTTCACAATTACAGCTCTAAACATTATAATAATAATCTTTTTATCAGAAGATCTGGTTCATAAATTCCTTTAATAGTCAGTAATCTGTTCTGACTATTAAGAAATGATTTGCTTGACCTAATTTTAGTATAATTCCTACCTTATAGTCTGTTCCAAATAGTGTTCCACTTTTGCTTTTTAATTTGCTGTAAAGGTGCAATTAAAAAGTATGTTATGTGACCTCAAAATATTAATCTTTCGTTTATTTTTTTAGGCTTTAGCTATGGGAATGATGACAGAATACTATCATTATATCTTTACCACATTGGTAAGTAGCTTATAAAAACATGCCAATAACATTGAACAAAGGCCTTAGCCATCTTAATTATATTACTTGACAGTGTGAAAGAGGTCTCTCAGGTATGGCCTCTCAGGTATGGCATGTTTTCTCCATCAAGTTTTGTTATGTCTAATGAAAACTCATGAGGATATTTTAATTAATGTTCAACACTGTACACTGGTAACTAATAGACCTGAGAAAATTATTTTGTAGCATTAGAGATTTAAATTTTTGAGTAGAGCTGAGAGCATAATCAATCCACAATTAATAATTATTCTATGAGTCTTGTCATTTTTCTCCTTACTGTTTTTTCAATGAACAAGTTGTAAAATTCTCAGATATATTCATTATTCCAAGTTAGTTATTAATTTCTTTGGCAAACAATTCTTCGTCCACCGATGAGTACTAAATAATTCATTGTGAATAATTTCAAACCACAATTTAAAATTTCCTGTGTGGTGATTAATTACATAAGTCATGTGGTATTGTTTCTTTTCCTTTATGTAAATACCAACTTGGGAAGAATGGAGAGCTCTGGAATTACATATGCACCACAAAAATCAGCTTTGATGAATATTGGAGCATTCATGCTGAAAATTTGGTGCTAAACTCAAGAACTGGAAAAGCTGAATCTAAATATGCTTTCAAATTTAAACAAATATTCATGTGACAATCTTTTTCACAATTCACTCAACTCTACTCTCAAGTAATGTGTTCTTGCATTACTTCCAAGCTATATATGAGAAGGCTATCAGGGAAGAATTTAGAAGTTTTTAGAATTCCACCCTGAGAAATGGGAAAACATTAGTAAAATTCAAATTATATACATTATTTTATCTTACTCCTATTATGGATCAAATGGGCACATTCAGTCCTCAGTTCAGCAAGGTTCTTGAGCGTGTGTGTCATTTTAAGCATGCAGATGGTCCCACTTCAGTGGGTCTATGTAATGTGTTTAAAATGAGACGTGCTCAAGTACCTTGCTGAAATGAGACCTTTATGTGGACTCAATGAACAGTCATCAATGAATCATAGTATAGAGATTGCAAAACATGGAAAAGAGCAGCACTGGAACAGCCTGCGTACTGGCCTTTAATGAAATAACTCTTAAAGATGAACCTCATTAGGTTAGTAAAAGCAGAGAAGATTTTACATAACCATAACTTTTCTTAGGGCCTTTGTGGAACTCAGAGATGCTGGAATTGCACACAGTTTATAATTCACCTTGTCAAAGCTCTCAGACTGACCAAATGATTCCAGACGTCTCAGTTTTAATTTTGTATATTGTATTTTAATTTGGCTCATTGGTGAGAATTGCTGGTTTGAGTGACTTGAGCTTTCTATCTCATTGCATTTGTTTCTTTGCTTTATATTCTAGAATGGACTTTTTACTAAATTTTAAAATCAGGATTTTGCTGTAATTAAATATTTCCATTTGCTTCTTGGAACACTAGTTTCTTTAGGTGCCTGAAGGACCAGCCTGAATCAGTGACAGAAAAGGATAATTTGGCATACGCCAGCAGGTGATAGATTTTGATGCTGCAGTAGAGCTCTGTAACTTGCAACAGAGTTTCAGCTGCTTTGATTTATTAATTGCTTCTTACCTGGCACAGTGAAAGCCTGTCAAATAAATTTTCCAATCACAGCATTTAAAGCAGTCTTCAGAACTGTATTCTCCAGTGACTGATTCAGGGGCCTAATGCACTAGCTCATTAATACACCGAGTTGTTGTGTATATTTGTTATACTTTTGTGTACACATGAATGTGTTTGGATTAAATAATTAGTTATGAGGTTGGGGTTTTTTTGTGCAGATGTTTGAAAGCATCTGAAATTTGAAGGGAAAGAAATTCTGTAAGAGTACAGCATTACTGCAACATAGTTCTTATTACTTTTAGCTATTCTGCTAAAATGTACAATATCTTTAGAATAAGGACGCAAGTATGGAAATTTGTAAATAGATGTCAAACTGCAGGCACACACTGAATTCCGACATAGCCAGTGCTTAATTTGTGATGAAAGAGGTGTCAGGGCTCAAGCAATTAGGTGCTGAAGCTCAAGTAAGTTTTTTACAGTCATAACTCATGCAGCAAGCCCAACGGTGCTGGGGCTATGAACTGCCAAACCGATAGATGACGGGGCTCAGCCAAGTTAAGCCTTGGCACAAATTAAGCACTGCATGTATCCTAAGGAGTCCGGTGACACGTTAAAGACTAACAGATTTATTTGGGCATTAGCTTTCGTGGGTAAAACACCACTTCTGCATCTGAAGAAGTGGTTTTTTACCCACAAAAGCTGATGCCCAAATAAATCTGTTAGTCTTTAAGGTGCCACTAAACTCCTTGTTGTTTTTGTGGATACAGACTAACACGGCTACCCCCTGATACTTGTACATACCCTATACATTGTATATGAAAAATAATACCATAAACCCTAATTAGAATCCAGAAGGATAACTATCTTTGAGATTAGGTTTGAGTTCTAATGTTAACAATGAGCAATTCATCATATACTGCTATCCCTGTTATTGCTCTGCTTTCTCTTCAATGGGTAAATAAATGCATTCTGATAAATATCAGCCCTAACATTACAATTTCACAGAAAACTAGAATATATTAAATGGGCAATTTAAAAAAAGGAGATGAAGGACAAGCACTGTAGGTTGAATTGTATGGAGGATGCAGTGTTTATCAAAATATAATTCGGTGCAGGACTGCTAAATAAGGGTCTCTATCACCTTCACTAGACATATTACTAAGGAAATCAGAAAAAAGAACAGTCTTGGTGCAGCCTGCTATGTAGTACTGAAGCACTTTCTGCTGGTTGAAGCTCTGCTTACTGAGTCATAAAAGTTATATTTTTCACCAACTTCATATTTAAGTTCCAATTCTGCATCAGAATTCTCTAGTGAAGATCTCTGGACTCCCCAGAGGTACTGGGGTCTGCACTGAAGAATCACAGTGAAGGATCGGGACCTTGTTCTTGAAATCACTTGTTCCATCCAAAATTTCTACTTATTTTTCTTTTTTTCTAACTTTATTTTCTCCCCTACACATATGCCTATTTTCTTTTTTAGAAAAGATCTTAATTAAAATGTTGTAATACAAAAGAGAAATTAATAGATCAGATTGATTAAAGATATTTATGTGTTCCGAAGAACAGGAAAATATTGTATTCAGTGATAGATCAGTATGAAAGGTGTATAAAAAACAGAATATTTTGTTACTCGGGATATGCATTTTTCTACAACATCCAACTGAGAATGTCTAAATTTAATAATGAGCTTTTAGCATTTATTCTGTTTTTGAGATAATGGAGACTAATTCTCTACAAGGTGTTCTGTAGCTCATTAAGGTAAAAATAATAGAGATAATAGACCAAGATAAAAACAGGAAGAGTGTATTCTGCTTAACAGAGAGAAATAGTCTGAGGAAAGTGCAGGGAATCTGTCATTTTATTTTATCATTTAAATTCAGTATCTGAACTACAGAAAAAGGGATTGTTAAATTAGCAAATAATATTAAAGACTGATTACATTTTATGGAGTATTTGTAACTAGCAATTTCAGCCACTGGGCTTAATTTTTTTCCTAATGTGCTTTGTTTATGACTGTGGGATATGTTCTTTCCTCTTTACGTACAGGGAACTCCCACTAACATCAGTTGGAGTTATGTGTGTATAAGATGGAATAGACCCCAACCAGACCTGTACATGGAACATACGGCACTTAGTAGCATGTACAATACTGTTGGTCATGGCACATTACAGTGCTTATCTCCACGGAGGTGGTTAAATGCCTGCATTAAGAAATGACATATAAAAAGCATTTATGTTGTAAACATCTCTTTCAGGACCTTTTTGCTCTTGATGTGGAACCTTACCGGTATAGTGGCGTTAACATGACTGGATTCAGAATCTTAAACACAGAGAACAGCCAGGTGGCCTCCATCATTGAAAAGTGGTCCATGGAACGATTGCAAGCACCTCCTAAACCTGATTCAGGTTTGCTGGATGGATTTATGACGGTATGAATACCAATTTATAGATTAGTTTGTGCATGCCTGTCTAATTACAAAACCCTTAGAATTGTAACCTGCAATCCAGTCACGCAGTTGTTCTAAAGTCACAGGACCAAATCTCATTTTAATTATTGCCTACAGATTAGTCATTAGTTGCATTCACAATTGATAGACTAAAAATGTGACTTAGTACTGGAGAGCCATACTAATTTTATCTCAAACAAAATACCATATTTATATTTACTTGCAACCTAATATTTTAAAGTAACTGTCATTTTTGCTTCTTTTTGTATCTTTTGAACTATGTTCTTTACTTACTTTCATTTAAAAAGGGAGATATTCTGGATTATGCTAATTCCAGAGCCATTTGGTCATAACACAGAGAAATATTTGTCTGGTGTTACAATGGACTTCTTTAAAATGTGATTATGTAATTTAACATAAAAAACTTCTCCTTTATAATAAAAAAATACTTTGTTTTCTCAAGTCAAGTCAACATATCACTAAATGAGAAGGTTTTTCGGCCTATTTTAGAAATCTCTTGTCCTGTAGATCTCTGATTATTGGAAATCATTGGATAAATCCAATAACAACATTCCTAGGAGATGTTAATCCTGTGCACAGTAAGCACCTTCCTCCAGTGATGTCCATGTATTTTATAAACATTATTTATTCTTCACACTCTCCTTGTGTTATAATTATTATTATACCCATTTTAGAGATGGGCAAAGTGAGGCTGAAATTAACACTCATGTTTTCAAATGTATGAGCAGCACCCGATGCATACTGAAGAGTTACACACTCATATTTATGCAGAGCTCACAGAATGCATAACGTGTGGGATTGCCCAATGGAGAACGTTAAGGAGGAAGTTTGATTCCTTGTTCTAAATAGCCTTGTATATTTGCATGTGCATGGTAATGTTTTAGAATATAATCATTTGTGGTTTAATAGTAGGTATCAATTGATCGGCATGTAGGATAACATCATTTATTTTGTGAAAAAGAAATATTATGAATGATATCTTGGCACCCATTGAAGTCCTTGGGAGTTTTGCCATTAACTTCAGTTGAGCCTATGTGATTTTTCCTCATGTGTATAAAAATATTACCCATATATTGTGTTCTTATCCAGAGCCACACACACTGATGGTACTCTAAAAATTAACAATAGTGGTATTTAGAGATGTTTTTAAAAATATGTAATATTTAAAGTCTCCATTAAAGCTAATTACATCATAAAAGTTTTTATACTAAGAAGTGTATTTAAACTCCATGCACTGTAATTACTCATTCAGAAGTTTTGCTAGAAGTCTATGGAAACTATAGAACTGATTCTTATCTTACCCCAGTTTTAGACCGGTGTTACTCTATTAGCATACATTTACTTGCACCAGACTTACATTGGTGTGAGTGAGGTCAGCTCAGGCTTTATAGTTATAAGGTACCCATCCAAAGTATAGAGCTTTTATGAGAGATGTCTCTTCACTAATCCTATGGGAAACATTTAACATACTGAAAAGGAGTACTTGTGGCATCTTAGAAACTAACAAATTTATTTGAGCATAAGCTTTTGTGAGCTACAGCTCACTTCATCGGATGCATCCGATGAAGTGCGCTGTAGTTCACAAAAGCTTATGCTCAAATAAATTTGTAAGTCTCTAAGGTGCCACAAGTACTCCTTTTCTTTTTGCGAATACAGACTAACACGGCTGGTACTCTGAAATGTAACATACTGTGGCTTTTACCCAATAACAGTATTGAGCAACTGTCACATCTAGGTCAAAAGGCAAAAGATGGTGTCAGCCACCTCCTGGCACCATCTCCTTCTGACAGAGATATTTCAGAAGAAACTCCTGAGCTCTGAGGTTCCACATGTTGTGAGGCAGGTCAAGGGCAGGAGCATGTATTGTTCTTTTCCAGGACATCTAGTAGGAACTTCATCAATAAGATAATACATCCCGAGGCTGTGTTACCTCTTTTGTGTCTCTCCCTCTCCAACCCTTTGCATAGTCTAATCCCCTTTATTAGAGGTTCCAGGGACAGACAATGGTAGAGGAGGTCCTTGTATCATAGTTCCAGTGTTCGGCACTGAGCCTGAAAGTGGATCAACACAGAGTAGAAAGCAGAAGTGAAATCCTGGTCCCGCTAAAGTCAATTCACCTCAGATCTTCTGCTTCTTCCCCTGTAGGGGTGAACCATAAATAGAAGATATTGCAGGAAATTACAGGGGGAATCTCAGAGTTTTTGTTCATCTGGTTCCTGCTCCCCAAGTTTTGCTGTGAAAGAGGATGATATAACTAATTATAATTATACTTAAATTTTTTAAAAAGGCCTTATTTTAAATGGCAGATAACCAAACAGATGTTTTCCTGTTTAAAAAAAACACACCAACCCTGTTGTCTTTCACTCCTACAACTATTGATTTTTATTATTTATTGTATTATAATAGTTCTAATGTTTCAATTTGTTGGGGAAAAAAAGTTGAAAACCTCACAATTGTCACATTGATTGGAAATCAGGAGTCCTTACTTTATGCCTTCAGTCTAATATTATACACAATTTTTGAAAAAAAATAGAGCTTTTATAATAACTGTGCTGACAGAGCTTCACCTCTTCTGCTTTTATCAGATACTGCATTAATATTTAATTTGAAAAATATCAAATTCTGTATCATTTGTTGAATATTCATATCTGGTTATTTAAACTATATATATATACTGTGCTAAATGAGCCACACAAAATTAGGTAGTTTTTTTAACTCTTTTTTTTAATGCCAGTGGAGATTATTAATATATATTAAGGATTTTACAGACACTGAATATTAAACCACAATCAATGGATAATGTAAACAGTTAAACATTTTTCAAGTATATCAACCTGGTCCCTCTTAAGCAGAGCTATGATGTATTAAATATCAACATAGCTGGGACAGCTAGAGAGACAGGAAAATTACATCCTTCCATGTACTTGCACTTTGTTTGTCATTAGTGTACCACATTTATTAATTGGAAACAGTGATTTCAAAAAAGTTTTTAATTAGATTTTGAATGTATTGCAACTTCTAAGTATTATCATGTATGATGGTGTCTATAAAAGTATATTGTTTGTCCACTTATATTTGTAAATGAAACTTAAAGTGGCTTTAGAAATAGGCATAAAGGAGAATTTAAGATTTAAAATCTCTTCTCACCTCTTCTGACTATACTTTTTGTCCCCTTTGACAGCGACCAAAGAAATAATGGGCTTCTGGTTACTAGACAAAGAATTATTACTGGCAATGGCACCATTCCCATTTGTCAGTACATGGGACCACAGTGCTTACACATCTCATGTTCTTTCTTTTTCATGATGTTATAGAGAAATAGGAAGCTCAGCAAAGCCTCTAGTATCTGGGACAAAGACCTAATATTGCTAGTAGTAATATAGTCATTTGTCACTATATAAACCCGCAGAGCTTACACATTACACCCTTACTTTATCTTCAAGCTATAGAAAGAAATAGAGGGAAAGGAACTAGATTCATTTATGAACTCTCATGGCTCAGTTAACCCCTTTAATTGGCCCTAGAAGCGATCACCAGAGTCAGCCATGCATCCACACTGTAATGAATTGTTCTGGAGGTGGATGGCACTGGTGAAAGGGTATAATTTCAAACCCTTTTGTCAGATGATTGGTTTTAACCCTTTTGTCAGATGATTGGTTTTAATCCTTAAGAATTCTAGTTTAGGTCGGTTGAATTTATTCTCTGTTTGTCATCAGTGGTTGAAGTGGTTGCCCTGGATTTAACCATCTGAACTGTAGATTGCCCTTTCAGTGTAAATAGTCATGGGGAGGGGCCTGAAAGGAGGGAAAATCAGTGTCCCCCTGTGTAGTTTCCTTCAAATCATTCAGGCAGGGGGAAGTCTTGCCTCTTTCCACAGAATGTAACCCTATTCTCCCCCGGTCTCTTCAGATGCTTGTAGATTAGGGTCCTTTATGTGGAGGAACAGCATTTGCGATCCAATCTAACCAGAGGGCCCACAACAAATCGAATCTGCTTCCCTTTCAGCAGGAAAGAGTTTGTGACTCTTGTGCATCTCTCATTGATTATGATACATCAGTTTCCGTTATCTGAACGTAGCCTCGCTATTTCAGAAACTCTGAACAGAAATCACCCACCCATGCAGTACAACCTTGCTAATTCACACTTCGCTAGTCTCCACACTTTATAATACTAAAAAAAAAAGAAAAAGGGGAGCCTCACCCAATTCTCAGCAAAAATTTAATATCAGACATGGAGCTGTCATGCAGTCTCAAATTAGTATGTACTATACTTTTTCACAAAAATATTCATGTTATCTTTAGAAGCACATTATGAAACATTCTGAAGTAATTTAGACTAAACTACAATTGTTGGCTGTCTTATTCTGAGAATAAAAACAGTAAAATAATTTTGTAATAAAGGGTAGGGAGAAAGTGTGTGTGTGTGGGGGGGGAAGTCCGTATTGTGATAACACACAATAGGAAGTTACATTGTGTGTGCACAGTTACCAAAAACCTCATACTGAATATACTATGTTGCACAACCTGGGGGGTGGCTAGATGTTCCATCTTGCTTGAGTTCTTGGTGTCAGATAATGAAACAAATGTGTTGCATGTAAGTTAGGGTTGTTATGGGAAAACTGAGACACAGAGAAAGAGATGTAACTTGCCTGGGGAACAAGTGGGGTAGTGGATTGGGTGAGGAGGAGACAGGAATTCAAGAAATGTGGTTGTAGCCTGGATTCTGATGCTGATTTGCTATTAGACCATGGACAAGTCACGTAACCACTCTGTGACCAATCTTTAAAATAGAAATATAAATACTTATTTACCTACCTCATAGTCTGAGAAGATAGATTAGCTAATGTTTGTACAGTAGGTAGAAAATCTAAACCACTGTATATAGTCATTATTAACACTTAGGAGCTGAGAGCACTCCTTTCCATGGAGAACACCCCCAACCCCCACCCCATATTAGCACTA